GGAAACTGGATATTCTCGATGGAGGTGTTTCAAGCTCTGGACAGTCACCACAACTCCCTCCTCCCAAACCCCTCAAGCTCACATGCCTACTCACAGCACAAAGCAGCCTTCATAGCACCCCAATTATGTGTTTTCTGGTAGCATAAGCTAGCCCATGGAGGTGGCTTCTTAGCTCTCCGGATACAGCTCACACCATGATTCTCTGTCATCTAGTAGCCTTTACTATTGAATTCAAGTAGATTGGTTTGGTTTTTGTTTTTCATCTAACCCCATCAGACAGATACCCAGGGCTATTTCTGCACCTAGTTCAATTTCTGCCTGTTCCAGACACCTACAACTTCCAAACTGAGTCCAGACCCAGAGGTTTCCTCAAAGCCAGTTTGAAAAACTGAATCCCTGCAAGCACTTACCCATGCTTCCCAGATGAGCAAGAAAACCCGAATCTGGAGGTGCCTGCAGCTATGACCAGGCGCTCCTGGTGTTCGCCTCACCTGTGACCTGGTGCTCCCGGGGTTCATTTCACCTCTGTTCTAGAACCTGGTGATGATGCCAAAACTGTTAAGAGGGAAAATTCTAGACCAGTTAAACCTAGTAGAGTTGGAACAAAACAGAACCAACCAGTGAATTCAGCAGCTTGCAGAGCATGTTCCGAGCCCTCTGACGTTCTCAGAGAGCATGGACCAGAAAGTAGCTTAATTGGCCACAGCCAGGCTAACCAGACAGCCAGCTGGGTATACAGCTCAACTGGTCCATGTTTCACAGCTTAATCAGCTAACAGGCTACAAGCCCTTCTCCAACTGACCACAGCCCAGTTACTCAGAATTAGCTGCATTGGTTTGATCCCTTGGGGTCAGGTCTGGAGCTCAGTTGTCCAAACCCAGTCTCCCACAGAACATGGTCTAACAGGAGCATGTGCATATGTAGAAAGCCATTGCAAACAAGCAAGGGAAAGTGTTCTCATAATCCAGGATTGTGGTCTGTGTACAGGGAAAGATGTGACTGAAAACCATTTTTCATGTGTGTGCGCATCCATATTCTTACATGTGTAGGGGCACACATGTAGGGTGGGTACACATGCATGTGTATATGCGTACAAGTGGAGGCCCAAGGTTGGTTTCAGGAATCATCCTTGATCACTGTTCCACCTTTTTAATTAAGGCAGAGCCTCTCAAACTCAGAGCTAGCACTGTAGCAGGGGATAAAAAGAGTATTTGTGTTTTGGGGGTGGGGATGTGGCTCAGTTGGTAGAGAGCTTGCCTGCCTTGCTGAAGGCCCTGGGCTCCATCCCCAGCACTGCATAAGACAGGCATGGTGCCTCATGCCTGTAATCCCAGCAGGAAGATTAGGAGTTCAAGATCATCCTTGATACACTGAGATTTTTGAGGCCAGCCTGAGATACTTGATTCCCTGTCCCCACAAAACAAAAACAAAAACAAACCACTAACCAAGCAAGCAAACAAACAAAAAGAAAAGGAAAATAAAAAGAGGACCTGGGAGATGCAGGAAAGCTGTGCAGAGTCAGGAGGGAGACAGCTGCTACCACAGGAGGAGCTGCGATGAAACCAGACTTTCAGGGACTGTGAAGAAGGATGGGCTCAGCTCTAAACAGGTTCTGAGAAAAGAGAACTATGTCTGGACCCAGGGAGTAGAGTGAAGCAGTTCACAATGTAAATAGTACAGACTGTGCTGTGCTCAGAGAGCCAATGGGGCCTTCACTGAGTGGAAGTACAACCCATGTGGGGGTGTTGTGGACTAGGAGAGGGGACTTCCTAAGCACGATACTGTTGAAACTAAGCGGCACAAGCCTGATGTATGTCAGGCTTTCCTGTTTCCATCTCTGAGACCACCCCGGTCTCTGTAAAAAGCACACCTACATGCCTTTTATTCCAAGGCAGGTGGATGTCTGTGAGTTTGAAGCCAGCCTGGTCTACATAGTGAGTCCCAGGCCAGCCAAGGCTGCATAGTGAGACCCAGTCTCAACAAAACCAAACCAAAACCAAAACCTCCCTCTCAAGAGTTAATCACTGAAAATGAATTCCTCGGAGATTTTCTTGTGACAAAGGAATAAACCGCCCACATTTTCTTCACTGTAGATGGGAAGAAGATTTTTCTGCCCACACATCTCCCTAATAAATCAGATCTCTTCTTCAGGTCCTTGAATGAAGCATTTGAAATATAGTTGCTTTAGAAATAAAAGCATGGAGCAATTTAAATGATGTGTGAGAGAAGCCAGCACTCTGGGTAAAAAGGTTCCCTTTCACTTCTTGAGTACAGAATCATGGAAATCAACCGTCAGAAACAGACTGGAAATAACATCTCATTTTCTGTCGCGTTATTCGCTTGTCTCTCATTTTCCACCTTTTATTCTTTCGAACTGGAAAATTACAGGGCCCTCATCTGTGCGCCAGTCTGTTTGAATATCCAACCACCAGGAAAATGCCCTTGAGCCCCAAGCTGACGCTCTCTGCTGATGAGGGTGCGGCTCTTACCATCAAGAAATGTCACTGTCGCTCAAATTGAAGTCTGGGTTCAGCCACCTGCTTCTCTGCCTTAGCAGCTTCTCTCCTGGCTCTCAACTCACTGACTGCTTCCTAGAAGCTGGCCTGACCTTAAAAATATTATTGTGGGGAAAAAAATCCTTGTGGGACTGGGGATATGACTCAATGGGTAAAGGAGCTTGCTGCACAAGCATAACGACCTGAGTTGGGCTCTCCAGCACTATCATTAAGCCTCATGCTATATAGCATAGTCCCTTGCCTGTTCCAGTGGCTTATGTCTTAGTGTGCATCAAATGAGGTGTGTTTTGTTTGTTTTTTGTTTTGTCTTTTTGAGACAGGATCTCCCTGTAGCCCCAGCTGGCCTGGAACTCGCTATATAGACCAGGCTGGACTTGAACTCACAGAGATCCACCTGCTTCTGACGGGACTAAAGGTGTGTGCCACCAAACAAGGCCAAATGAGGTTTTTTAAAGGCACAGGTGAAAGTTCTATGCTACCATTCTTGGTTTGGAAATTGCTGTGGTGGGTTAAGTGGGGTCATTAGAACTATCTCTCAGTCAGATTGGAACCAGATGAGACAATAAAGGTTGGATCAAATTCAAGGTGTCTGAGGCCAGCCTGGGATATGTGAGACACTCTTAAAAAGAACGGGGCCCTGGGGCGATGGCTCAGTGGTGAAAGTGCTTGTGCAGGTGTAAGGACCAATTTGGATCCCTAGAAGGCCATGTAAAGTGCCAGGTGGGTGTGGAATCCCACCTCTAATTCAGCCCCAGAAGGTGGGGGCAGGGGCTCCCTAGAGCAGCTGACTATCAAGACTTGCATCCCATGCAAGTGCTGTACCACCTAGCCAGGCCTCCACCCCGCCAGAGATTCCCTCCAGTTGGAATCCACACAGGCCCAAATCTTCAGTCTGAGGAATGAACAGCCTCCCTATAACAGCCCTGAGGCTGTGGTTATTAGATCAATCCATCTCTATCTTTATTTTCAGTCCCAGAACCAATGTGCCCCACAAATAAAGCAGATCAAACACAGGGAAGGGAAGGGCACCTCTGAGCAGTGTCAAGGAGGGCTAGCAATCAGCCAGTCAATGACCTGCATGGTAGATGATCATTCCTGACAAGAATCCATCTCCACAGATCGTTTCACCTTGAACCACCACAGAGTTGCTATCTGAGAAAGAATTTCCACTTCAGTGTGAGCTAAACAGCAAGCTCTACTCCAATCTGACCCACTTAGACTAAACTCCTGCTTGCAAAGACCTTATGCTGAAGGAGAGGGGCAGTGAGCTGGGCTGCGGGCTTCTCACCTCTCAACCATGGCCATTCCTAGGTTACTCTGGAAATGAGGCAGAAAACTGCAAAGAGCTAGGCTTGCAAAGCAGAAACAAGGCCCGAGAGCGCCTGACCTCATTTACAAGAGACAGTGTTGTCTGATCTCATGCAATGAAATGGCTATTGACTTAATGACAACTCTGCAAGACAAGTTCAGGATGGTTAAGCCTTCTAAAAATAAAGTGTGAAATGCTAGCTACTAATTAAAATGGGAAAATACTTAAACTAATGAGGTTGACATCCCAATGGTATTTACATGCAGGCAAATTTGGAGCTGTTATTCTTCCCCAGACTTGCATTTTATGTTGTTCTGACTTCCTGACAATAGGGAGGATTGGCTTCTCTGTTGCATTATTTTTTAAATGTAATTACATTTTAATGTTACTGTTGTATTTTAAATGTTCTTACCCCTCTGATTGTGTTTCTCTAGAGTGTATTTTATTATCATCAGTCTTTTGTGTGTGTGTGCATACATGGTGTTCATGTGCATGTGGAGGGCAGAGGTTGAAATCAGGTGTCTTCCTCTATTCCTCTCCACATTGTTTTTTGAGACAGGGTCTCTTACTTAAACCCGAAGCTCATCTATTAGCTAGACAGGTTGCCCAGGAAGCCTCAAGGATCCTTCTGCTTCTGCCTACTTAGTGCTGGGGTTACAGCTGAGTCACTACACCCAGCTTTTTACATGGGTTCTGGGGAGCAAACTCAGGCTATCATGCTTGTTCAGCCAACATTTTACTGAGTGTCACATCTCCCTGGTCCTATTATCATCCTTTTTCAGAAATATTTTTGAGATAGGGTCTCCCTATAGCCCCAGCTGGCCTAGAACTTGCTATGTAGACCAGGCTGGCCTTAAATTTACAGAGATCTGCCTGCCTCCGCCTCCTGAGTGCTGGGATTAGAGGCGTGAGCCACTACACCCAGCTCCATCATGACTCTTCTAAAAGGAGGTTGCAGAAATCTACTTTGATCAACAGGATTTTAAAAACAAAAAATGAGAGCCAGGAGGCAAAGGCTGTTTTGACAGTTAGCTTAGTTTTATACATTAAAAGCAAAAACAAAACTCAAAAAGCAAACAAGCAGAAAACCAAAACATGAGCTTGTGTGGCATATACTTGATGTTCTGTTATTTACTCTCCCGATCACCCAAATCAAATTAACTATACACAGACACCACGATAGCAGTAGGTTTATTTCCAAAGTATCCATTCAGTAAAGATGACTGGCTCAGAAATAAAGCAACAAAGGCAAACCGAAAACACATGCAAAAGCCTGTTTGGGGGGCGTTTAATGAAGTAGGTCTCTCTTATACAGGAAGCAGGCTAGTCGTACTTTGCCCAGAATTCCTGAGTAATAAAGACTTATCTCCAAAATTTTCCTTTATTGTTCTGGAATGTTCCAATTATACCATGGCAGTCCAGAACCAATACTAATCCAGAAGCGCTGATCACTGATTGAGAAATTAGTTATCAGATATTATCTGTGCATAATGCAGTGACCAAAGTGTACAAGGGCAAACATAAGCGCAACAAAATCTTTCTGAAACATAATTGACAATCTGCATGAAGTCAGTAGACTACAGACATATTTGATATAACTCAGCTTCAGTTAAGTACTTTTTAAAAAAGTACTCAGTACAAAATCTGAATTTTTAATTCTTGATTCATGTTCTAAAAGTTTGCACTCTTAAAACACTAGACAAACATGAAAAGAAACTTAAATCCTTCCACCTGTAAGCCATTTGTTATCCATTCATATTTTTCTCTACTTCTTTACCAAAAACCGTGTGATGTCAGATCCGTGCTTTGATGCTAGCAAGTGTCTTCTCACATGACTTCTTTCCTTGGCTTGTTGGGCAGTTCTCTAGAAGTTGACAAACACGTTAGTGGAAAAGCAATGAAAACAGAAGCTCAAAGACTTTGAATCTTAACTTTGGAAAAATTGACATTATCCATATACCCAGTGCTTGGCCCATAGCAGGTGCTCCAAGCCACAGGCAGAGTACCTTGAGGCCCAAGATCTGGGTTCATGGGACTCAGTTAGGAGAAAACAGACTCCAGTGGGGATGTCTCTATCTAGGAAGACCATGAATTCTTTGTTTGGGAACTAGGGAAAACCAGGATTCTTCTTATTCAAGTGGGCACTCATAAGGCATCTTGGAATTCCCAGAGTGCAATGGGTGAAAGGTTTGTTCATTTCCTATTCTCTAGGCCTAGAATTCATTCCCAACTCAGCATATAAGACAATGTAGAAAATAAAAGAGGATAGAACTTGATTGTCCTGTTAAACCCACAAATAAAATTTTTCATGAGAATCTGAAAAAAAATTGCAGAAATGAGAACTCTGTGAGTTCAAGCGCAGCCTGGTCTACATAGTGAGTTCCAGGCCAGCTGGGGCTACAAAGAGACCTTACCGCAAAAAGACCCCCCCTCAAAAAAAAGAAAAAGAAAAAATATAGAAACAACCACATTCTCTTTGGCTGTTTCTTTTCTTTGAGACAGAGTCTCCTGTATCCCAGACTGGTCTTGAACTCACTATGTAGCTGAGGCTGACCGTGACTCCTGATCCTTCTGCTTCCACTTCCCAAATGCTGGGATTACAGGTATGCACCATCACACCCAATATATGCAGTGCTGGGATGGAACCCAGAGCTTGGTGCATCCCAGGTAGGCACTCTACCAACTAAGCCACATCCCTAGTCCACAGCATGAATTAAAGGAGGTGTGCTGGATAGCTTTAGTGTCAACTTGACACACCTGGGTTGAGGGAGCCTCAGTTGGGGAATTGCCTCTATTGGACTGGCCTGTGGCTATGTCTGTGGGGCATCTTCTTGATGAGTGATGAGGGAGGGCCCAGCCCACAGTGGGTGGTGCCACCCCGGGCAAGTGGGCCTGTGTTGCATAAGAAAGCAGGCTGAGTAAGGGCCAGGGGAGCAAGCCTGTAAGCAGCATTCCTCCATGGCCTGTGCTCCAGCTCCTGCCTCCAGGTTCCTGTCCTGAGTTCCTACCTTGGGCTCCCTGATGAACTGCGTGTGACCTGGGAGATGTAAGACAAATAAACCCTTTCCTCCCCAAGTTGGTACTGGTCAGAGTGTTTTGTCACAGCAATGAAGAACAAACTAAGACAGGAGGGAAGCAGCTTCCAAATTTGTGACCAAGAACTTCTACACAGCTCGCGACAAAACCAAGTGTTAGGAGTGATCAAAGAAATGCAGTGTTTCTGCTTCTAGCCACGGGTGCACATGCATCCACAGTCTCCCACACCTGTGAGCGTGGTTCTCCCTGGGGTTGCTCAGGATACAGTCACGTGTGTGAGCATCACTGACCTCCTTATGGCATGCTGTGCAGAGTGTCTGTAGGTTATCCAAGGAGCACTGGCCTCCTCCCTCAAACACTGCCTTGATGTGATCCACCTGCCAGAAGTGGCCTTCTCTTGGGTTTCTGATCATCTCATTTAGCTGCAGTGAGAACACAAGATCAGCAATTTTCCAGATTCTCTGTACGAAACTGTGGGCTGTGCACTGTGCAATTGGTTTATACAGCAAAATCATGGGGAGAAACATATTAGGATGGCTTTTTATAGCTTTTGTTCTGATTTAAAAACCCTCTAGGTTAGCAATTTTAAAGCAATAAAATGTGCATCTGAAAAAGAGGGGTTTTTTTTGCTCTTATACCTAACACATTTTGAAAAACTTATATGCAAGTATAAAATACCAAGGCTCCTGACAGATTGGGGAATTAGTTGTTTTTTGCACCTTTGGGTTACTTTATATATTCATGAGGCCAAAAGTGAGGAAAAAGTAAGAACAAATTAGAAATTAGAAGCTTCTCAACCTTAAATAATCCTTCACTGTTGACATAAATGCATTTGTTATTGTATCTGTGGCAGTGAACACTAAAAGCTGTTATCCAGAGTTTTCTTTTGAGACACCGTCTCATGCTGTCTAGGCTGGTATCAAACTCCTTGTGCAGCCAAGGATGACCTTGAACTTTAATCCTCTTGCCGCCACCTCTTGGGTGCTGGGATTACAGGCATGAGCCACCACTATGCCCAGTTTATGCAGTGTTGGGGATGGAATCCAGGGCTTCATGCATGCTAGGCAAGCAGTCTACAAATGGCACCACATTCCCAGCTTTACATAGAACTTATTTTGCTATTCACTGGAGAACTTCCCAAGTTCCATTTACTAGAACTGGAATGAAGTTTCTACCACAAACCTCTGTACCCTGAATATTTGGAATAAGCAAAGACATCCATTTAAAACAGCCAGTATCTAGGCCAGTCTACTCCCACAGTCAGCCAGTGATGCCACTATATATTATATATATATTTAAACATTTTACCTGAGATAGTAAGCCAACATGCACTATGGCCCTGCAACTTTTTAAACACCACAGAGACTAGTGTGACAGTTGTTTTTATTTTTTTGGTCATGGACAAGAAAGAAATTATAATTAAGTTCATGAGTACTGGCTGTGGGGACCTGTTATTATTTCAATACTAAATAGAAAGAACACAGCCAGAGGCATCATATTACCTGACTTCAAACTATACTAAAAAGCCATAGTGATAAAGACAGCATGGCGCTGGCACAAAACATGACATGTGACACAAAGGACCAAGAAATAAACCCATACAGTTATGAATACTTAATTTTGACAACGGTGTCAGACACACTGGAAAAAAGACAGCCTATTCAATAAATGGTGCTGGCAAAACTGGTTATTTGTAAGGCACTTTAAACATTATTTATTTTTATTTCATGTCTGTGAGTGTCTTGCCTGCATGCATGTAAGTGCACCACATGCATGCAATGCCTGCAGACACCAGAGATGGCATAGGATTCCCTAGAGCTGGAATTATAGATGGTTGTTAGCTGCCATGTGGGTACTGGGAACTGAACATGGATCCTCTGGAAGAGCAGTAAGTGCTCTTAATCACTGAGTCACATCTTCAGCTCCTTGTAAGGCACTTCTAAGAAAGTCTGTAAGACCCCAGGATGTACCAGTGACCTAACAGTGCTGACCCTTGAGAAGCTCCAGGCAGGCTTTGTCTGCTGACCTTTATCACTGACTGCCTTACTTTCTCTTCTGTTCTGAACTAATAAACCTCTGTTAAATGATATACATACTGAGTTTTAGTCTTGAGGTTGGAGAAGTAACTACAAATGTCAGTCTAAATGGCATATCTGAGGGAAAAATCCATTTGGTTCTGCCTTTAAATTTTTTATTTATTTATTTTTATTTTATGTGTATGAGTGTTATGCCTGTATGTAAGTGCACGCATGTTGTGCAGTGCCCATGGATGCCAGAAGAGGGTGTTGGATACCCTGGAACTGGAGTTAATGGACAGCTGTCAGTCACCATGTGGGTGCTGGGATTTGAACCAAAGTCTTCTACAAGAGAAGCTAGTGCTCTTAACTGCTGAGCCATCTCTCCAGCCCCCAGTTCTGCCTTTTGCAACCAATTCTTTCTTTCCGAGAAGCTTTAACTGACAGACTCAATGATTCAGAAGATGCACCTTTAGTTTTTCCTGGTAGATGTGCAGCAGAGCTCTTGGGATCTGTTCTCAACATCCTAAATTTGTCTCTCTTCAGTCTGAGCCTAGCGCTACAGCTTCTCCCCAGAACACGCACGTCTGGGATGTTTAATATATGACTGCTGCATTCCTAGATGGCCCACTTTCAAGATGCCTATGGATCACTGCACTGCACATCTTTAGGACCTGTACACAGCAGTGTGGGAGCTTGGCAGAGCCGCCTCTGAAGGGACAGTATGTTGCTCACCAGTTAAACCAAAGGACCTCTTAGGTACGCTGAAATATACTAATTCATCTCTTAGAAATGACTATTGGACTATTTTGCTTTAGTTTGAAATTCAGATTAGGTCTGATAACAAGAGCAGAAATCTGAGTTTTGGAAAGTTAAGTGAATATTGATGATAATGTGTTACGAATAATACTTTGCCATAAGTTGTATATTAAAACTGTATTTTACAATGAAATGAACACACACACACACACATACTACATTTTAATTGTAAACTGCATTTCTAACATCATGGGAACAGAGCCACCTATGCATGCAATCAACATAGCACCTCTTAAAATCTTTTCCTAAAACAATGGAATCAGAATCTACTCAAGCTTATAGACTTTATAATGAATATTGAGGAAGTTGTCAGGCTAGAAGAACATGCCAGGCAACACCATGCAGGTAAAGCGTGGTATTCAGAATAAAGGAAATCCTTCGGGGAAACCATCTAGTTTCTTCACGATCGATGGTATGAAAAGGGAGGTGTGCTTGAGATCAAACAAAGCATAATGGGTACTGTAGCTAAAACCAAGACATAAGCCATATTTTGATCCTAATTCCAACAAAATCAATGGTGAAAGCTGCTTCTGAGACAATCTTGGGATTCAGACACTTATTACAATCAAACTGTAGTTGTGTTGGTGTGATAACTTGTAGTGAGATTCTATTTAAAAGAAGAGAGGGGGAAGGCATGGAGGAAAAGAAGAAATGGTGGGAGAGGGAGAAAGGATTGGAGGGAGGGAGAGGATGAGGAGAGAGAGAGGGAGGAAGAGAGAAGAGAGGGAGGGAGAGAACAGAAGGGCTAGAAAGAGAAAAAGGAAGGAAGGGGAAAGGGAGAGAGGGAGGAAAGGAGGGAGAGAAGGGAGGGAGAGAGCCAGAAGAACAAAGAGAAAAAGAGGAACGAAGAAAGGGAGAGGAGGGAGGGAGGGAGGGAGGGAAAGAGATGGGGTGGAAGGGAAACACAGAGAGAAACGGGGTAAGGAAGGAGGAAGCCATGAGACACTGAAGAGGAGTTGATTGAATGACCCAAGGTAAGGGTCAGATGAAAGCCAATGGCAAAACATGGTGACTGATGCTGGATGAGCATGTGGGTTGATTATTCTCCCTATCTCTGTATATACATTTGAAGTTTTACATATTAGAAGCTAAAATACAAAATTAGTCTGCATTTGCCACTGAGTGCAAAGCTGGGCACCTGATGGTAACTCACCTGTTCTAACGGGAGCTTTGAAGTCCAGGCAGCATCTAGAAGATTCTTCCTCTCACTTTTAGGGGCGTCCCTTACACGCAAAAAGAGTTCCTGTGCATTCACACTGCACAGCTGACACACGCCATGTTCTGTTTCAAACACTTGTGCTCTCAGGAAACTGTTACTGGAGCGAATCCAGAATTCCTCCTGACACTGCAAGGAGCAGAACCGTGAGTCCCAAGCATGTGCTTTCCAGCCCTGCTCAGGCTGGCAGGTGGGATGTTGGCAGCGAAGGCAGAGCGGACTTCCTTCCTTATCCACGGCTTGAACATAGCCTTTGGATGGGGATGGCTTCACTGCGAAGTCGGCTTGTGCTGAGCAGGGATTCAGAGATGGGACGCAGGCTCCATCAAGCTTTCTACAGTTGAACAAAACATTGACTAGTGAAGTAATGAACTCTGAGCCTTTCCTTGGTAGAGAGGCTTTCTACATCTCTGCATGGATAAAGAGTAAACAGTTGGGCTACAGAACTGGTGGTTCAGTGTGGCTCAGCACCATGCCAAGAAGAGCCATGCTACAGGCTGGGCATGGTGGTGCACATCTTTAATCCCAGCAAAGCAGGTGGATCTCTGTGTGTTCAGGTTTGAGGCCAGCCTGGTCTACATAGTGAGTTCTAGGCTAGCTGGGGCTATAGGGAGACTCTGTCTCAAAAAGACAAAACAAAGAAAGAAAGAAAAGAAGAGCCCCACCAAATAATCAGACCAGTCTTCATACATCCGAAGAAGCCAAAGTTAAGAACTGCTTCTCAGGCCACTACAGACCCTACTGGCCGCAGGCTGCTCTGCACCCACACTTGCTCATATACCTCCTGAGATGAGTTCTTCACACATCCACTGCCTCATAGGTCACAGAAACTGTTAACAGCCAGAGTAGCAAGGCTCAGCACAGAGGCCTGCCAAGTATGCTCCTCTAGGCAAACTCTGATCAGATTAACATTAGAAATGAAACACGACAGGACTGAGACTCACTGGATTAGGACCCCAGGAAAAGGGCCATGAAGCTATGCTGAAAGGCTGGGTACTGGGACCTGATGACTGCTTTGCCCATCTTCCATGGTTGGTTGCTGTAACTGAAACACGCTCCGGGACAAAGTTTAGGTCTGAGCTCGGGTCTGCTGTCCTCTCCACCTAGGCCTGGGATCACCCAGGCTCCTGGTCTTGGGTCTTGCCTTCTCTAAATTGATGAGCTCATAGGCCTCATGGGGTTGCCAGAAGGCCTGAAGGACTACTAAATCATAAAATCTCTTTGCGGCCAGACATGGTGGTGCACGCGTTTAATCCCAGCATTCGGAGGCAGAGGCAGGTGGATCTCTGTGAGTTCAAGGTCAGCCTGGTCTACATGGTGAGTTCCGGGCCAGCTGGGGCTACAGGGAGACTATGTCTCAAAAGAGCAAAACAAACAAAAAAATCTCTGCAATCTCCAAAGTGACCACACAATGGAGGGAGGGTATTATTACAGAAATCAACACATACATTTAAAGCAGAATTCTGGATATCACAGTGTCCTTACTTGGTGGGAGGGTCTCGTGGCCTGGACTCCTTGGTGATCAGACGGATGTGGCCCCCATCATTCTTCACTTTGTTCATGGAGGCCATGGCAACATCTTCTTTGGTGATGTACCTAGAACAAGTACATGGTAAATAGATTTCTTCTCATGTAATAGTTAATAGGGAGGGAGAGACATTTTCTTAGGTGGGGCAGCCACTGGGAAGTAACCTGAAGTAAACTTATTGTGTTGCAGACACACAAAAAAGACATGAAAGTAGAGGGGAAACTAGTTGGGAAAGAGAAGGGGATCAATGGGGGTGAGAGGGGGCCAAGAGAAGATAATGGGGGTGAATGTGATGGAAATACTTTATGTATATGTATGGAAACACCATAACATAATATGTAATTAATAGATGCTAATAAGCTGGGCATGGTGGCGCACGCCTTTAATCCCAGCACTCGGGAGGCAGAGGCAGGCGGATCTCTGTGAGTTCAAGGCCAGCCTGGTCTACATGTACATGTACATGCAATAGTATGTGTGTGGAGGTTAGAGGACAACTTGCCGGAGTTAGTTCTCTCCTCCGGCCATGTGGGTTTCTGGGACTTGAACTCAAGTCATTAAGCTTAGTAGCAAGCGCCTTTACCTGCTGAGCCATTTCACTTGCCCATATTGAACTGCCAATGCAACCTCAACTGGATGGTTGCTGGATTTTTATTATGTATTTTTTTCAGTCAGTACCGAGATTGAACCTAAACTTCGTGCACAACAGTCATGCACTCTACCACCGAGCTACATCTCCCAGCAAGTTTCTGTACTCTGTGTTCACAGTACTCCTCACAAAACCAACTGAAGCAAAAGCAAGATACAGCCCTATTCCCTATGTTGACAAGGAAGTCAGAAAAGTCATTTGTTCTTCATGGTGTCTTATGTGGGAAACATCCCTCTATTCCAAATTAGTTTTCTCAAGATTCACTTCTCTAAGAGATTCAAGAGTTGTTCACTATTTTTTGGATGGTGTCTTCTATTTAGCTTTTCAGCTTGACACAGCATAGAGTCATCTGAGAGGAAAGCCTAGATTGAAGAATTATCTAGATCAGCTAAGCCTGTGGGCATGTCTGTGGGGGACTGTCTTGATTGTTAATTGATGTAGGAGAGGCCCTGGCCCACTGTGGGAAGTTCTATCTCTGGGCAGGTGGTCCTGGGATGTATAAGAAAGCAAGCTGAACATGAGCTTGAGCAAGACAGAGAGCAAGCCAGAAAGCAGTGTTCCTCCATGGCTTCTGCCTCCAGTATCTGCCCTGACTTCCTTCAATCACTGATTGTGCTCTGGATATGTAGGCCAAATAAACCCTTTCTGTTTTAAAGTGCTTTTGGTCAGAGGGTTTTATCACAGCAACAGAAAGGAAACCAGAACAGATGGATTTCTGACAATTGGAGGAAGAAAAGAGTGGCTATGGGAATAAGAAATGATCAAATGCATGTGCAACTGACAGCCTTGAGGAAACTGCTTATCAGGCTGCACAGAAACTTTCCAAGTGTCTCACCTCCCTTGACCTCCTCCTGATTCCTGAAAATTACCTCAAGTCAGCTATAATACATATTGACATTTTGTGTAAAGTGATTCTTTTTAGCTAATGGAGTTCAACCATATTTTCTCTAATTCCAACGTAGCTGCTATTAACATCAGCCCGTAGTTTTATGGAGTCTTCCATGGGAACAAAGTCCTCTTGATGTGGGACTCAGACCCTTCTCACAAAACACTATCAGTAACACAAACGGTTTAGGGACTGGAAGAAGAAAGTAAATCAATTAAAGGTGGCTGGGGAAATTAAGTAGGTGAAATGCAATTACCCAATTCTAACTAGCATGGCCCAGTTTCTCTGCTAGTTTATAACTATTGTATATGCTTATTATATATTTTTAAAATTCCACATGAATCTCTTCACATCCCAATTTTTTTTTAACATGGGTGCTGGGGATTTGAACTCAGGTCTTCATGCCTGCACAGCAAGCAACTCTTACACACTCAGCCATCTCCCCAGTCTGCTGTATTCTTTTTAATGGTTACATACTATTCCACTATACAGATAAACCATGTACTAATCTATCTACTCAGTCTTTGGTTAATAGGCCACTGGGTTGTCTCCAACCTTTACTATCACAATGCTATTATAATATACATGGATACTCACTGTAATTTTTATACACTGAGTACACACACACACACACACACACACACACACACACAGTCCCTAGAGCTAGACTCTTTGGGTTAAGAGTCCTGGCTCTTTAAGTGTGGGTAGATTCTGACAAATTGTTCTCTTCTAAAGTTCATCAATACGTATCTAGACTGCAATAAGTAAGAATACCCATTTCAGAGCTGGAGAGATAGCTCAGTGGTTAAGAGCACCAGCTACTCTAACAACGGTCCATAACTGCAGTTGCAGGGGAATCCAGTGGCCTCTTCTGACTCCACGGGTACTGCACGACACAGGTATACTTAACACACATGCAGGCAATACACTCATACACATGAAATAAAAATAATAGAATATTTTTTAAAAAGAATACCCATTTCCTCACATTTTCACTAGCACAGTCATATCATTTAAAAAAATGTGGGCTGGGAGATGGCTCAGTGGGTAAAGTGAACACGAGGGACCTGAATTTAGATCCTCAGAACCCATGGAAAGCCATGCACAGTAGCACACGTGCTGTTAATCCCAGAGATCCACCTGCCTCTGCCTCCCGAATGCCAGCATTAAAGGCATGTACCACCACGCCCAGCCTTTTTTAGTCTTTTTGAGACAGGGTCTCCCTGTAGCCCCAGCTGGCCTGGAACTGGCTATGTAGACCAGGCTGGCCTCGAACTCACAGAGATCTGCCTGCCTCTGCCTCCCAAGTGCTGGGATTAAAGGTGTGAGCCACCACGCCTGGCCTAGGTGCACATTTTTATATTTGCATTTCTACTTGTGTGTGCTTCTTAAAGCAAAATGAAGCTAATTCACAGTGAGTTCTTGGGCTTGCTCATTTAGTTCCTAAACTTCCTCCTTATCCCCTCATTTCCTCAACTACTTATTTCCTGACAAAAGCATTTTGCTACAGCATTTCTGGAGGTTCTAAATGAACTCCAAACTGTCTTAGCTTTGCAGGACAATGGGATATTAAGGCTTGCCTCAGGTATCAGTCAATGTGTAAGAGCTTAGAAACTTAATTCAGTAAGTTTCAATCATGCTGAGAAGTTTACTCAGAGATTTAGGGACCAAAAATAACCTCCTGCCTTCATATATGAAGTTCAAGCATACATCTTTGGAAACTACAAAGAACAGATTGATCGGCCCTGAAGAAGGGAGTTAACATCTTTTGAAACAGTGTTAAGATGCAAATATTTCATTTTCCAGTGCAGTTTGCTAGGATATTCATGAAGTGTGCCAATTCCCCAAAGGATTACAGTAAATCTCAATTTTGGCAAACAGGGCAGGAAGAATGCTATCTACTAAACCATCCCCTGGACAGGGAAGGGAGTGGGTGATGGGAATTTTTGGCAGAAGGGAAGTTGTGTGCACTGGAAAGTGGACCACAGGGATGGATATAATCCTGTGCTCTAGGTAAGTGGCCCACAGGGATGGATATTAAGAGGGAGCTACCTGGAAACCAGCTTCAAGACCTTGGCCTAGCTGAGGCCTGCAACTGGTGGGGTTGCCTCAGAATAATCTTGTTGGAGATCTAGCCATAGATTTGGGGCTACATCTTTTTAGTATATATATTTGCTTGTGTGTGATATGTGCATTTGCATATGCATGTTTGAATATGTGTGCATCTGCATGTGGAGGTCAAGGGTCGATATCAGGTGTCTACTTTGAACACTGTCCACTTTATTTACTGAAATAGTGTCTCTTGCTGATCCCACAGCTTGCCAATTTTGCTAGTGTGGCTAGCCAGCTGGCCCCAGGGACCCCTGTCTCTGTTTCCCAATTTGACTGCTGGGAACATGAACTTTGATCCTCACACATTCATCTATTGGCCCATGTCTCTCCAGCCTGACCAATATATATATTGGTCTTTTCGAGACAGGGTCTCCTTGTAGCCCCAGCTGTCCTGGAACTCACTATGTAGACCAGGCTGGCCTTGAACTCACAGAGATCCGCCTGCCTCTGCCTCCCAAGTGCTGGGATTAAAGGTGTGCGCCACCACGCCCAGCCCTGACATTTAATATTTTTAAGCCATGAATCCTTCCTTCGAATGCCTCATAAGTCAAATGTGGGTTTAGGCATTCTGGAAGGGAGTGAAAAGAGGCATCTGAAGGACTTCCAGTGTCAGTGTGATGCTTCTCCCTTCAGCCTCATTGAGCTGGATGCTTGCAAGTCTGGAGGCTCTGGAGTTCAGTTTATCTAGAAAATCTGGTAGGATGGTGGGAGGAATGAGATCCAGAGTTAACTCTCCTCATGCAGCACCCCATTGCTTATGCCTGGCTTCCATACCTGCTTTCACAGATACAGGGTTACTCCAAAACACTGACAGTCACTGAGGTTCCACTATAAGAAATCAGCGCTGCTGAGGCAATTTGCCCTCTGTGGGCATACAGGTTCCATTCTGAGGCTCTGCTAGGTAGGTTTCCCCTAAAGACCTCCCTCTCTCTACCCATCATTCACCAAGAAGTGTAGGTGTACCTCTTCAACAGCTTTCTTCCTTCTTCCAGTCCCACTGCTTATGCTTTAAGAGACCTCCATCAGTATTTTTTTTTCTAGGTCTACTATAAAAATCTTTTAACTTGGATGGTAGGTAGGATTTTTAAAAAATATTTTATTATTTTTATTTTATGTGAATGAATGTATTGCCTGCATGTGTGTAAGTGCACCCATGTTGTGCAATGCCTGAGGAGGTCAGAGGAAGGCATCAGATTCTCCTGGAACAGATGGTTGTTAGACCATGTGGGGGTGCTGGGAATTGAACCCGGGTCCTCTGCTGAATGTATTGCCTGCATGTGTGTAAGTGCACCCATGTTGTGCAATGCCTGAGGAGGTCAGAGGAAGGCATCAGATTCTCCTGGAACAGATGGTTGTTAGCCACCATGTGGGTGCTGGGAATTGAACCCGGGTCCTCTGCAAGAGCAGTCAGTGCTCTTAACTGCTGAGTCATCTCTTCAGCCCCAGTAGGTAGAATTTTTAAAGCTCTCTACCAAGATTACTATCCTGAAGTTATTTGATCTAGGTAGTGTTATAAGAGTACTTTGAGGGGGCTGGAGAGATGGTTCAGTAGTTGATGCTCTCGCAGCGAATCCAGCATCCACATTGGAGGTTCACAACCTCTTATAACTCCAACTCCTAGAGATAAGATGCCCTCTTCTGGCCTCTGTGGGCACTGCATGACACAGATGCACTTAACATGCAGCAAAACACTCAATTACATAAATAAAAATAAATAAAAATAAAAATGTTAAAATATAAAAATAATTTAAAAAATTTAAAAAGGAAGACTTTGGAGATATAATTAAGGTCACTATTCAGATGACCTTCAGATAGATTACTAAGTTGGCCCAATATAACTATATGAGCTCTAAAAGAAGAAAAGAGCTGCGTGTGGTGGCTCACGCCTTTAATCCAGCACTTGGGAGGCAGAGGCAGGCAGATCTCTGTGAGTTCAAGGGCAGCCTGGTCTACATAGCAAATCCAGGCCAGCTGTGTCTACAGGGAGACTCTGTCTCAAAGAAGAAGAGGAGGAGGAGGACGAAAGAACCTACCATTTGACCCAGCTATACCACTGCTTGGCATATACCCAAAGAACTCATACTATTGCAGAGACACTTGTACATCCATATTAGCTGCTGCTCTTTTCACAATAGCTAAGAGATGGAAGCAACTGAAGCGTCTCTCAACTGATGAGTGGATAATGAAAATGTGGTTCATTTATACGATAGAATTTTACTCAGCAGTAAAGAAAGATGAAATCATGAAATTTGCAGGTGAATGGATGGAACTAGAAACTGTTATACTAAGTGAAGTAACACAGACTCGGAAAAATATTGACATATGTTCTCCGGAGGGGGAGGAGGAGGGGGAGGAAAAAAAAGGCAGAGATTCCAAGAAAACAAGGATTTGATAGACTGCTTCTGGCCCTGAGATGCTGGGGTCCATGTGCTAGGACCAGAGAGAGGCCTCCAGGGACAGACAGTGGCCCCAGCTGATAGCCAGCAAGATATGAGAACCTGAAGCCTCCATGTGCAAGAAGTACATTCTGTCAATGCTCTCAACGAGGGGGAGGAAAAAAAAGGCAGAGATTCCAAGAAAACAAGGATTTGATAGACTGCTTCTGGCCCTGAGATGCTGGGGTCCATGTGCTAGGACCAGAGAGAGGCCTCCAGGGACAGACAGTGGCCCCAGCTGATAGCCAGCAAGATATGAGAACCTGAAGCCTCCATGTGCAAGAAGTACATTCTGTCAATGCTCTCAACGAGCTTGGATGTAGATTATTATCCAAGCCATGATTAGAGCCATGTGACTATAGCCTCATAAAATCACAGAGAAAAACCAGCAAGAGTCAACGGGAGCATATGAATTCTAGAACTGTGAGATAATAAATGTGTTGCTGAAGATGCTGAGTTGGTGGTAGCTTGTGGCAATGATAGGAAATGAATGTTATGGTCTGCCCACTTCAAGTCACCATTTCTGATCTAATGTCACCACTGCCAGAGTGAGCTCTGCAAATACAAATCTGATGCTTACTGACAGAAGATACACCTTTGTATAGCTACATGTAAGTTAGTAACTAACACTGCCCATCTACTGGTGTTAATTTTGCATTGACCTTTGCTTTTCATCTGCCTCAGCTGGTGCTCTAGGTAGAACTTCATGTGTGGTGGAGAAGCAGCAATTCAGCATGCCTAGGAAAGGGTAGGTAGGCTGTGGACTCAGTTATGAAGGGAATGCTGATCATGGGAGAAAGAGGATCAGTATGTCAACTAACTTGTAGCCAAAAAAAAGAGAAAAATGGAGAAGACTGGGAAAAGTACTTAGAAAAACGAAACAGGCACTACACTTTATAGCAGTGCTCCTGTGCACACTTACGTGAAGGTGAGTATGTATAAATGCATACACATATTTCAAATGCATTCTCGCATATAAAGTAATAAACCCTATGGGAAAAATTCAGTCAGTACAAGAGACTTGAGCAACTTGTGAATAGACCCCGTTGTCAAAATGCTTTACTTGACTAAGAATTCTAATTTTTAAGTCTGAACTTGAAGGACTTTTTGCATTTTCCAGACTCCATCTTTTCTAGTTTTAGACATGAAGATATGATCTACTAGTTCACTAATGGTCACTGCTCTTTCTGTCATGGGTTTCTAACCCTGGTAGAAAGTATAAAATTTCTACAACCTCTTTAGGTTCCCAAATTTCATGCTCTAGAACAGAATTTCTATAGACATTCTGAACTGGAAATTTCTGTGGGTATCATCCTGGTCAGCAGCCTGCCCAACAGATAGTTCCCAGGTGTGTTCTATACCATGACAATCTACAGTGTCTCCAGATGCTGTGATCCTGGCTGCCCCCTGCTGAAAATTAATGTCCTATAGAAACCTCTGGGAGATTCCAAGGTGTGGTTCCTTCCATGCAATTACTAGATCAACACTAACAGTTTGTCTGTTTGCTTGTTTGAAAAACAGTATCACTGTGTGGCCCTGGCTGGGGCTGGCCTTCAATTCAGAGATCTGCCTTGCCTCTGCTTCCCAAGTGCGGAGACTGAAGGCGTGTGCCACCATGCCTGGTGAGTCTCCATTCTTTTATGAGTATTTACGCTTACACTTGGCATTTTATCACTAGGTATTGTTTTTTATTCTCACATACTGATATGCTCAATACCATACATTCAAACACTGCATGGGTACTGATTTCTACTGCATGGGGACTGCCAAATTTTCTGGAATCATCCATGGCCCCGCTCACCTTTGTACACCTTTGATGTATTGTTTTTTTTCATATTTGTGAACAGGAAAGGCGGGAACACTCCGTGTTGGACTGTGTGGAGGGAGACAGGCTGCAGGTGTGTGGTCAGAGGGGCAAAGGGCTTTCTCAGCAGTTGCTGTCATTTGCTTTGTTGTTTTGTGATCTCTCCAAAGCAAGAACTGTGCAAGAGACCAGCCAGCAACCTCTCCTGGTATTCTTTGATTCATGCAAAAAGAACTGGGATTTAAGATCAAACACAAGCCAGATGTGATGGCATACACATGGCATCACATTTAATCCCAGCACTAGAGAGGCAGATGAATCTCTAAGATTGAAGTCAGTCTGGTCTAACATAGGACAGCTGGGGCTACGGGGAGACCCTGTCTCAAAAAGATGCCTCCCCTCCAAAATAGAAAAAAAAAGATCAACACAAGGAAACTCATGGAGGGTTACACTGCCGTGTAGAGAAACTAGGAACGACCTACAGCGATGATGGCAAGTGGTACTGACGGTCACAGGCTGTAATTTCCAACCACGGACCTTACAGTTACCTAACACTTTTTGGAACATGGTGATCAGTTCCAACAGAACCAGCTCCCCTGCTGCATGGCACCCAAGGCTCATACCAGAGAAGGGCAACTCAGGGCAGGCAGGGTCCTGGGCATACTCTGAGGGTCTGAAGGTGAAAGGTCTCTCTGTTGTTAGTAACTGTCCCAGCTTTAACAGGTCACAGGTGCACCAACCCTACCTCTGGCCTCTCTGCTGATGAGCAGGACTCCTGGTAACCAGACCTAGACAACCTGATGTTTTCCAGCAGGTTTGATTAAGTTCACTACATATTTAATTATGTTGCTATGGAATGATATAACTACTAGAGGTCAGAAGATAACTTTTAAGAGTCAGTTCCTTCCTTCCACCGTGTGGGTCTGGGGATCAAAATCAGGTTGTCAGGCTTGGCAGAAAGTGCCTTTGTTCACTGAGTCATCTCACCTGGCTCTTTCTCTCTCTCCCTCCCTCCTTCCCTCCCTCCCTCCCTCCATCTCCTCCCTTTTTCCCTTACTTCCTTTTTTAAGATGAGGGCTCATGTATCCCAGGCTAGACTTGACCTTGCTATACGGCTGAGGATAACCTTGAACTCCTGATTCTCCCATCTCTACCTCCCAAGTGCAGCAATTACAGGCATGCACCACCATGCCCACTTCCTGTAATGCTAGAGATTGAACCCAGGGTGTTGTGCATGCTAGGCAAGTATTCTACCAACTGAGCAATATCCCCAGTATAATTTTCTCTTATCAAAATTTCATTAATAGTTCCATAAGGTACCTCAGATCTCATAGAAAAATAATGATGGGAGGGCTGGAGAGATAGCTCAGTGGTTAAGAGCACCAACTGCTCTTACAGAGGATCTGGGTTTGGTTTCCAGAACCCACATGGCAGCAAACAACCATCTCCAGTTCCAGGGGATCTGATGCCCTCTTCTGGCCTCCCCACAGGCACTGCCAGGCACATCACGTACTTACATGCATGCAGGCAAATGTCACACACAGAAAATTAAAATCAGATGAAAAGGAAAGGAAGCTCCTACCTTTTCGTACTGTTTTGCTTGGCCTGGTGCTTTGTGATCTCTTCCAAAGCTAGGACTGGGCTGCAGAACAGCTGCCCACCTTTCCTGATTGTCCTCTGCTTCATGGCAGTTAGACTGTTCCACTCCCGAACAAACCGTAAAATCTGGCAGAAAATGAAACAATTAAGAGTTAACAGCTCCCAGACATCCTCCTTTGAAAGTCAGGCTATTTACAACATGATAAAACTAATCTTTTATTATAGTCCTCAAACATGTTTTGAGTCTTATAATTTATGGCTTCCTTCAATTTCATAGTTTTCATAAGTTATAAATGGTCTATTGCCCAGTTTGATCCAGAGTCTCTAAAGGCACATCAGCATCCAGCCTATACCCTAACTCACAGGTACCAGCACTGAGAATGTGCTCACCATGACTAAGACAGGGTGGAAGCACAGACTCCAGCAGCAGCCCAGGCAAAGCTGGCTTTGGGGAAGCACATGATGCAGGGGTGTTGGGGATGGTCCAGCATCTGAGAGTCACTCTATCAAGTGCTTCAGGCATCACAGGACGGAAGTCAGCAGTAGATCTGGGTCACTCAAGCAGGGTCTATTTGTCTGTCTACCTATCTATGTATCTTATCAATCAGTTTATCATTTATTTCTATATGTATCTATTATCTATCTATTAATCATCTGTATATGTATCTATCCATCCAATTTTCTACCATCCTATCGATCTATCTAATCATCTATTTTCAGTCATCATCTATCTGAATCTGAAAGTCAGTAGTAACCGATGCCAAAGAAAATAGCTCATTGCTCCTTTTTCCCCTTGGAGGGGTGCAGCTGACCCCTTGGCAATCCTTTATTTCCATTCAAAAAAGGTGCTAAACCCAAAACCAAAAATAAATACCAAAATCCTCACTAATTTCTCATAAAAACAAATGGTGGCTGCTGGGTGGATGATCCAGTACATGCTGGGTCAGTCCCTGAACGTGATGACCCTCTCAGCAGCAAGGATGAGTTGGCCAGAGATCGGAGTTAAGGCTTCCCTGGCAGGTGGCTGGCCTGTAGCTGCACACTGGTGATTCTGACAGAGTCAAGAGTCATGGTGTTATCCTAGCTCTCAGAATATGCCATTGTTAGAACTTAACCTTAAAAGATAAAATGTGGGGCCTGGAGAGATGGCTCAGTGTTTAAGAACACTGACTGCCTTGCAGAGGACCCAGGTTCGATTCCCAGCACCCACATGGCAGCTACAAACTGTCCTTAACCCCCTACCAGGGGAATCCAATGCCCTCTTCCAACCTCCACAGCATTGCACGACATGGGTGCACTCACATACATGCAGGCAATACACTCATACACATAAAACTAATATAATAAATTATATATATATATATATATAAAGATAAAATGTGATTCTGACAGATAGGAATATCACAGCTGTGAATGAGAGTGAAGTGATGAGAGGTGATGCTATCCTCAGCAGCAGCACTAGGTGTGATCACTCACCAAGGAAACAGGTTCCACATTTATTCTTAGCGTCAGTGTAATTAATAGACACTGCTGGGATGCATAAAGCCGCAGCCTGCAGTTTAACTCAGCACTAGGTTGGCTATAAACTCAAATGATCATTAAAATTACTAAATAATTTTATTTAAAACAAATACAACTGTAGTATTTAAAACTATTCTTACCAGTGAACGATTCTGTTTTAGTTGAAAGCTTGCTGGTAAGTCTTCCCAAAGGTCTAATTTTATATCCAGAGGAATGAAATTACAGTTCATCGGTGTTCCATCCTGATTATAGACAAGGAAGACGTTATTAATGCAGTTGAGTCTGTAGGCACTCATAACTACTCTAAAAGAAAACAGTTTCATTATGATGTAGTATGTCCAGTCTCCTAAAAGATATACTAAAAGGCACAGTCTAGACAAGGGTGTACGAAACCTGGCTTCCCTGCAGACTCAGGTGATGAGAAGAGACAGCTCTCCTTCCATCTGAAGGCCTGTATTGCCCATACCCAGCCCAAGCCTCCTGCCATCATGGACACCATGCTTACTCCCCTGACATAGACTTCTATTGCCTAGTGTTGGAAATGCATATAGGAACAATGAAATTAGTACTGCAGACCAATACAGAAGACTATCACATCCTTGATGTTAAGAGTAGCATAGTCGTTCCCCAATGAACTAAATACCTGTTAATAATGTGACTCCTATCAAAGAGCACCTAAAATAACCTGAACCCCCATGGGTTATACAGCTGTTCATTCTTACAGGCATGGAGAGAAGGGAGACAGAGAAATTCTAGAGAAATTATTTTATCTATTTATTTTTTGGTCTTTTTGAGACAGGGTCTTAGCTGGTCTGGAACTCACTATGTAGACCAGGCTGGCCTCAAACTCACAGAAATCTGCCTGCCTCTGCCTCCCGAGCGCTGGGACTAAAGGCATGTGACACCATGCCCAACTAGAGAAATTATTTTTAAAAGATCTGGTGGTGCACACCTTTAATCCCAGCACTCGGGAGGCAGAGGCAGGCAGATCTCTGTGAGTTCAAGGCCAGCCTGGTCTACATAGTGAGTTCCAGGACAGCTGGGGCTACAAGGAGACCCTGTCTCAAAAAGAATGAAAAAAAAAAAAGATCTGTTTGTCTAAAGCCATGTTACAATGCTGGTCTGAGGACAGGCTGGCTGCAACGGCTTGGCCTGGAGAGGAGGTGAAACTGCATTGAAGGGAGTCTTGGTTAGACACAAGCAAATGTCATTTCTTTTGTAAAGGGGAAGATGCCTATCAGGTGAAACTGGACTGTACCAACAACAGCTTTAACTCATGTGCTAATTCTCTCAGCCATAAGAAATGTTACAGGTCTATAGCCATGTTGGAAGAAGAAAATTACACAAGTATTTACATCGTGGTATGTTACTGTACTATGTGATTATGTAATTCTAAAGTCTGGATATATGAATGTAAACCCTAGACTTTGGATTCTTGCTGAAATAGTTTTCATGAGCTATGGGATATTAAATGTCCGTTACTGATTTTTCCTTTATGCGGTGAACTCTAACGCAGTGAACTAGGGATTTTATCCCAATTTCTACTTCTAGATTTTCTTTGGCTCTTCTAAAGAAGAAAAGCAAGCTTTCATCTCCCCTCAGCTATAGCTGTAAAGAGGCATGTCAGCATTTCATCTGCTTAGCGTCTCCTGCTAGGAAATGACAGTAACTGAGTGATGACACTCAGTTACTTGGTAAAGAGACATGCAAGTATATTTAGAACAGCTAGAAAATGCCTGAGACTCTGGACAGACATGTTAAGGAGGAGGCCCATGATAGGCTGATGAAGTGACACTCAGCGTGGCTGGCAGCAGGCACTCTACCCTGCACCAGGGGTTGCAGTTTCTCTCCCTGTCTCTACCCCAAGGGGGGAAAGCACTGACTAGAGTGTTACAGTATATAATACAAGCTTACAGACCCCAGAGGTTTCTGAAGCCTTGGTGTGCTCTCACTGGAACCTGCTCTTGGTTCCTAATGCTTGAAACCCATGTAGGTGGGTGTCGGGGGGGGATCACTTTTCTGCTCCTTTCACATGATGGTTTCAGGGACACAATCTGGAGCGCCATACCCCTGAGGAACAGGGGGGCAGAGATACTGAAGACTGCTTGGAGAAGCAAAGCCATCGAGGTATGGGTCTTCTCCAGTCTGCTTCAGCTCATCTAGAGGCTCCATGAGGTGGGCAGTGGTCCAGGCCTACAAGAAGAGTACCAGGATGTTCCTAGTATACCTGAACGGGTACCTGGATGGTTCCTGGTATCTTTATCTTGTGTCCTTGTGTCCCCTTAGTGGATGTTTTGTGGGGATGCTGGTATCTATGTTTGAGTTGTTTCCTTCTAACTGCCTATTATTATACATGGCATACCATACATCAGTATCTGTACTTGGTTTAGTAGAAAATTTATAACTGAAGGTAGCTGGGTTTTAAGTTTTTGGTTTTTTTTTTTTTTTTTTTTTTTTTTAGTGGTGGCGATTGAACCCAAGGTCATGTGTATGCTAAGCAAATGCTGTACCAGTGAACTACATCCTCAGCCCCATAAGTTATGTTTTAAAAAATATTTCTTCTGGCTAGTAAGATGGCTCAGTAGGGAAAGGTGCTTGCTGCCAAGAACGATGAACTCAATTCGATCCCTAGAACCCACATGGTAGAACAAGAGAACAGATTCCTGCAAGTCGTTCTTTCATGTCCATAGAGCACTGTGACCTGTAGTACCTATATACATATAAACACACAATAAATAAATGTAATAAAAACTAAAAAGAAGCTGGGTGTGGTGGTGCATGCCTTTAATCCCAGCACTCGGGAGGCAGAGGCAGGCAGATCTCTGAGTTCAAGGCCATCCTGGTCTATAGTGAGTTCTAGGACAGCTGGGGCTACAGGGAGACCCTGTCTCAAGACAAAACAAAACAAAACAAAACAAAAACTGAAAAGATAAAAAGCATTCTTTCAATAGAATAAACTGTGGCTTAGAACTAAAAAGTTTCTTTTTTAAAAAAATTAATGTATTTCTTGGCCCTGAATCAAGGCCAACAGTTTGTTGAAGCTGTTGGTTTCAAGAAGGTGCCTAAAGAAATGTCTTTCTATGGTCTGTTGGCCATTTCAGAAATTTGGAAATGTGAGCCAGGCATGATGGCACATGCCTTTAATCCCAGCACTCAGAAGGCAGAGGCAGGAGGATCTCCTCTGTGAGTTCAAGGCCAGCCAGGCCTACATAGTGAGTTCCAGGACAGCTGGGGTTACAGGGGGACCCTGTCTCAAAAAGACCAAAAAAAAAAAAATTTGGAAATGTAATGGCCAATTTATTAGAAACATGTGGAAAAGAGAAAAAAATTAATATATTTCAATTTCACGTGTATGAGCATTTTGCTTGCATGTCTGTAAGTGCGCCATATGCATGAAATGCCTACAGAGGCAAGAAGATGGTGTTGGATCCCCTGGAACTGGAGTTAATAGATAGTTGTTAGCTATCATGTGGGTGCTGGGAACCAAACCTGAGTTCTCTGCAAGAGCAGCCAGTGTTCTAACTGCTAAGTCATCTCTCCAGCTCCCAAATATAGTTTCTTATACCTAAATTTATTAGAAATTTGAAATTAAATAGAGTAATTAAAATCTTCACCAACTTTTCCTTACTTATATTAGCTTAGTTAGGACAAAGATTCTCACATGGTCTCCAAGACCCTCTCAGAAGGGCCAAAAAGTCATATGTTTTGTAATATTAGGGAGACATTGCTTGCCTTTCAAGCTCTTACTCCCTTATGACTGTTTAATGGAGCTTTCCAGTGGCTACATACTGCTGAGAAACCCGTCATTATCATCTGCTTGTTCGGGTTAACCCCACTGAGACAGGATCATGCTACATAGCCCAGGCTTGTTGCAAACTGGGCATCCTCCTACCCCAGCTTCTCCAGTGCTAGGATTATAGGCATGTGCCACCACACCTGGCCCTATAATTTTTAAATAAACACATGCTATTTATATATTTATATATGTAATGCGCTTATTAGATATTTTGGAACTGAACAATGAATAGCTTAAGAATCTTCATTTTAGGGGGCTGGAGAGATGGCTCAGCAGTTAAGAGCACTAGCTGCTCTTGCAGAGGACCTGGGTTCAATTCCCAACATCCACATGATGGCTAACAACCATCTGTAACTCCAGTTCCAGGGGATCTGACACCTTCTTCTAATGTCCATAGGCACTGCACAATATGGGCATACCTTACATTCAGGCAATACACTCGTACACATAAAATAAAATAGATAAAATAAAAAAGAATCTTCATTGTAGTACAGAATAAATATTAATAGATATAACCCATATCGACAAAATCTGTTGGGGTCCTCAGTAAATTTTAGAGTGCAAAGGGGTCCTTAGACTAAAATTTTTTGAGCATCACTAACCTAGGCTGCTCTAGGACTCTGAGTGATCACAGCATGGAGACAGGGATGTTGAAATGACCAGTGCCAGAACTAACATTCAGCCAGACTTCATGAAGGGGAGGCCCTGTGTTAAGTACTCTAAATGCCAAGCCCATTTTATCCTTGCAGCAAATCCTAGCTACATTTTACAGTTGAAGACACAGAGCACAGAGAAGCACAGAGCAGTCAGAGGTGCCCAAGATCACACTGAGCGTAACAGACTTAAACTGAAGCAGTTTGGCGAAGTCTTAATGACATTTTCCTTCCATTGTCTTTAGACACACATAGGTGGGAAAAATTAAGTTGCTATCTTACTGTTGAAGAAATCCACTGAAGCTGGGCGTGGTGGCGCACGCCTTTAATCCCAGCACTTGGGAGGCAGAAGCAGGTGGATCTTTGTGAGTTTGAGGCCAGCCGGGTCTACACAGTGAGTTCCAGGACAGCTGGGACTACAGGGAGACCACTGAAAAACAAAGATGAGGAGGAGTGTGCTGGAGAGATGGCTCAGTGATTAAGAGCACTTGCTGCTCTTGCAAAGTACCTAAGTTTGTTTCCCAACACCCGTGACAGGTGGCTCACAACTGCCTAAAGCTCCAGCTCCAGAGGGATTCACTGCCCTTTTCTGGTCTCTGTGGGCATCCACATACATGTGCACACACACATGTGCGTACACACACACACACACACACACACACACACACACATAAAAATAAAAGAAAAAAAAAAAAGGAAAACAGAGCCAGGTGTGGTGGCGCACGCCTTTAATCCCAGCACTTGGGAGGCAGAGGCAGGCGGATCTCTGTGAGTTCAAGACCAGCCTGGTCTACATAGTGAGTTCCAGGACAGCTGGGGCTACAGAGACCTGTCTCAACAAAGACAAAAAAGAAAAAGAAAAAAAGAAAGAAAAATGAAGGACCTTTGTCTTACATTTTAAGCCACAGAAGCTGTGTGATGCTTACCTTGGTATAGAGGTGGATCCGGTCAGTGTTCTTACTTGCACAAAACATGAGGGCCTCATACACTGGCAGAGTGTCTGAATTCATCAACTGCTCTAATGAAGAAGACAAAGGAAAGTCTGAAGACTTGTCTACCCTCTATCTAAAATAGCTTTAGGAGGTAGAAAGATGGCTCAGTGTTTGTAGCTCTTGCAGAGGATCGGAGTTTAGTCTACAGCATCCACATGTTGGGCAGCTCACAACCAACTGTAACTCTAAATACAGGGGATCACACACCCTCTTCTACCTCCATGAGTACTTTCACATACATGTACATGCATACATACATTCAGATACTCACATACATATACATGAAAGATATAAATCTTAAAAAGCTCATTTTAATCTTTCACAGGTTAGAATGATGAAATAGCTATACAAAAATCAACACAAGGGACTGGAAAGCTCAGTGGTTAAGAGCATTTGCTATTCTTGCAGAGAACCCAGGTTCGGTTCCTAATACTCACATGGCAGCCCAAATTATCAGTACTTCCAGTTCCAGGGGATCCAATGCCCTGTTATAGCTTCTGTGGGCACCAGCCATGCATGTAGTGCATATACATATGTACAGGCAAAACACTAATACACAATAGCAAAAATAAATAAATCTTTTAAAAAGAATATAAAAATAAAAAATCAACATGGGGCTCGAGAGGTGGCTTAGCAGTTAAGAATACTTACTGCTCTTCTAGAGGACCTAAGTGGTGCTCCCAGCACTCACACTAAATGATTTACAACCAACCACCTGTAACTCCAGCTCCAGGGAACCTGATGACTCTTCTGGCTTCATGGGTACCATACACAAGTGGCAGACACATAGACACACATACATACACATAATTTTGTTGTTGTTGTGTTTAGACAGGGTCTCTTTGTAGCCACAGCTGGCCTAGAACACAGGCTGGCCTTGATCTCACAAAGATCTGCCTGCCTCTGCCTCCCCAGTGCTGGGATTAAAGGAGTACACTACCACATCCAGCTACATAATCTTTTTTTTTTAAATCAACATATTTCATAAGGGATACATATCTAGGCTTAAAATAAAATTCTCAAGGCGGGCCATCTAAGAACATATATGGAAGCTGGGTAGATTTTTGCTGAGTACTCTTTTGTAGCTCAGTGGTAGAGTGCTTACCTAGCATGCCTAAAGGCCCCTGGTTCAATCCCTGGTACTACAGATTAAATGATTACAGTTAATACTAAACATTTAACGTCCCAAGCATTGTGCTGAGTACTATCCTAATTACATTTCTCACAGTAGAAAAACACATTTTAAACAGAAGGAAATTTAGGTACATTGTTACAGTTTGAATGAGAAATGTCTCCACAGGCTCATGTATTTGAACTGGTCCTTGGTGGTGGGTGGTGTTTAGAAAGTTGTGGGACCTTTAGAAGGTGGAACATTGCTGGAGGAAGTCCATCACTGGGGATGGGCTTTGAGGTTTTATAGCCTGGCCTTCTTCATGTTCTCCTTCTTTGCTTTCTGTGTCCAGATAAAATGTGATTGGCTAGTCTCATGCTTTAGATGCCATGTCTTTCCCACCATGAGGGACTGTATCGGGTCTGGAACTGTAAGCCAAGATGAAGCCTTTCCTTCTCTAAGTTGTTTTTTGTCAGGATTTTCTATCACAGTAACAGACAAGTAATGAATACACAGTAATATTAACTTGCTCACAATAAAAGGAGCTCCAGAGCTTATACTCTTAATTCAGCCATAGTTCTTCAGTGAACTTTTGTTTTGTTTTTTTGTTTTGTCTTATTGAGACAGGGTCTCCCTGTAGCCCCAGCTGTCCTGGAATTCACTATGTAGACCAGGCTGGCCTTGAACTCCCAAAGATCTGCTGGCCTCTGCCTCCCAAGTGCTGGGATTAAAGGCATGCGCCACCACGCCTGGCTCTTCAGTGAACTTTTAAAGTTGTTTCTAGGCCTAGAAGCTAGGGTTTGCTTGCTGTTCCACTAGGTACCAGCTACTTTATAAATTTGGTTTGTGGTTTATTCCTGTAAAAAACAAATAAATAGAAAACAAAACAACAACAAAAAAACCAAACCCAAAACAACAGAATTATGAATTATGGGTCCTGGGAACTGATCCCAGGTCTTCTGCAGGAGCAGTCAGTGTTCTTAACTGATGAACCAGCTCTCCAGCCACAGAGGTCATTTTTAAGAAAAGATATTTACGAGGTCAACGCCAAAGTGGCTGATACTTCTTGGGAGCCAACAGTTGCGTTGCGGAACATACTATTCCTTTGTGTCCATGACGTGTAATTTAATAGAGATGATGAATCTGCTGGAGCTATAGCTTTCCTTCTAGACCTGAAGATTTCTAGTTAAAATAAAAACATGGCTCCAGAGCTGAGGACACCTTAAGCTCAGAAATTTTTAAATGAGTATTTCATTTCAAAGGTATGAGTCTGACTCCAAATTATATCAGTGTTGATAGCAGCTAACAGAAAAATATTTTTCAAGAGTCCCTAAAAATTTGAGACAGTTTTAAGAAGTATATCAATCTGCAGATGATATACTATGGTCACTAAATGCGTAAGACAGAAATAACCCAAATTACACAGTCTTCTGCCATCTAGCTCAGAAGAGACAGTGACACAGTACTGCAGGCTGGCATTTGATGCCATAGTCTATCACAGCTATAAATAAAAAGCAGAACTGAACAACAAATAAATCCTAAACACTAAGAGGTGGCTCCATGTGCAGTTATGACATACATGGTCTTTGTGTATATGTGTGGCATGTATGCATGTGGACATGAGCCTGTGTGTGTATAAACATGTGGAGGCCAGAGGTCAAAGTCAGGTGTCTTCCTCAATTGCTCTTCACCTTATTTTTTGAGACAGGGTCTGTTAGTGGCCTGGGGCTCACTGATTTGGCTACGCCAGTCAGCCAGTGAGCCCCAGAGATCTGTCTGTCAACATTTACCCAGTGCTGAGATTATAGGTATGTACTGCCATGCCTGGGTTTGCATGCAGATGGTAGGGACTGAATTCAGGTTCTCATACTTGCACAGTGGAAACTTTATCCACTGAGCCATCTGTATAGACTATTTCATATAGTCTTGAAATTATGCTCCTTAAAATTGTTTCTAAAAAATTACACACACACACACACACACACACACGTGGCATGGTGGTGCAAAACTTTAATCCCAACATTCAGGCAGGCAAGCAGATCTTTGTGAGATCAAGGTTAGCCTGGTCTATATAACAAGTTCTAGGCAAGCTGGAGCTACAAGGAGACTCTGTGTCAAACAACCAAAAACAACAACAACAACAACAACAACAACAACAACAAATCAAACATGCCAATTGAGTATAGCCATTTAAGAGCATTCATTATGAAAAGGACAATGATTTGTTAAGGGGATGCTAATACTCTTGTTGATCTGACTATTGTGACCTGAAGCACCACCCAGATAAAAATACCTGTCCATCAATGGTCTTGGTGTAGCTGGGCAGTATAACACTGCTGTGGTAGCATGGGCAGCAATTTATTGGTTTTGCTTCTTAGTAGTGTCTTGATGCCAAGAGACACATAGCCATTTGGAGTTTAAGGATGTTGTTGAAAAAGTATTCTTTTTTTTTTTTTTTTTTTTTTTTTTTTTGAGACAGGGGCTCCCTGTAGCCCCAGCTGTCCTAGAACTCACTATGTAGAGCAGGCTGGCCTTGAACTCACAGAGATCTGCCTGCCTCTGTCTCCCGAGTGCTCAGACTAAAGGCGTGCACCACCACGCCCGGCCCGAGGGTCAGTATTTTAATCTAAAAGGGAATACTTGGGACAAGGTATTAATCACAAATTTAGCAACAGCATTATGTGATTAAAGTACATGGTATTTATTCAGTAGTTAGTTTTGAGACAGGGTCTCATTTAGCACAGGTTAGCCTCAAACTCAGTATGAAGCCAATCCTCTTGCCTCTACTTGAGTGCTGGAATTACAAGCTTTTGCCACCATGTGCAGTTTATGCTGTGCTGGGTATTGAACCCGGGGACTCATGTATGCTAGGTAAGCACCAACTGAGCCTATCTCCAGCCCCTACACGGTTATTATTTGAACACTAGACATGGAAATAGAACTTACCATTCTCTGCCCGGGGTGTCAGTCTGTCTTCTTGTTCATCTTTTGAAGTGTCTTCCTTGCTGTCAGCCAACTGATCAGGTTCTGACTGTTCAAGGACTTGTTTTCCATAGTCCAAGCTAGCTTGATCATTTTTGGAGGTATCTTTCTGAGAATCATCCTCCTCATTTTTGTTGTTATACTGGATACAGCTAAGGCTGACTAGAATTATTAAAATGAAATAATTTAAACTAAACAAATGACAAATGTCAAAGCTTGGTGTTCTTTATAAAAGTTAACAATGTTAACTTTATTTAGATTTATAATACATTTATCAGGAAGGGAGTATTTGCCCTACTTCCTGGAGGTTCCCTTCTAAGAGGAGAGATACACAATAACGTAACCAAATAATAAAGAATGTGTCTACAGATGAAGGGTGGAACCTAGAAACATAAAGGAGCAGTATTAGGATATTACATAAGCACAAGCTGTCAGGACCAAGATCTCCTAGTCCCACCTAGGAGAACTGTTGGGGAGTCGAGAAGCCTGGCTAGGGGCTTACATTCTTGGTTGTTCTCTAAATGGAACTGGAAATAAATGGACTTTTAGATGGAGGAATACTAATGATCTGAAGTTTTGAAGGGTCACTCTGGATGCGCTGCACAGAAGTATCATCAAGGGGAGGATTGGCATGGGTGCTACTGTGGTTTGGGTAAGAAAAAATGGCTGTCAGTGGTAGCAGTGAGAGGAAGGGGTTGTAATCGAGATTTATTTTGGAATTTTCTTAATGATGGAGGGGGAGGCGACAAAGAGATCAAGGATACTGATGAGGTTTTTAGTTTGATGTAGGAAAGATTGAGAGATCTGAGTGCTAAATAAGCGGTGATGAATGAAGAATGCTATTGTGTGTGTGTGTGTGTGTGTGTGTGTGTATACAGGGGTACACATATGGAGGTCAGAGGTAACATCTAGTGCCTTCTTTTATTGTTCTCTAGTTTTAAAACTTTTTCTTATTTATTTTTATGTGTATGAGTGTTTTTGCCTGCTTGTATGTAAGCACAACCATGTCATGCATGGTGTCCATGTCATACACAGAGGCCAGACAAGGGTTTCGGACCCCTTGTAACTGGAGTCATGGAAGGTTGTTAGCTGCCATGTGGGTGCTGGGAACTGAATCTAGGTCCTCTGCAAGAGCAGCTAATGCTCTTGACTGCTAAGACTCTCTCTAGGTCCATTCCACCTTATTTTGAGACATGGTCTGTCATTGAGCCTGGAGCTCACTTATTCAGCTAGGCTGGATCTAGGGATCTACCTCTTTCTACCTCCCTAGCACTAGAGTTAACAGATATATGCTGTTATTAGCTTTCCACAGGGGTGCTGGGATCCAAACTTGGGTCTTTATTGCCTATGTAGCAAGCATTTGACCAACTGAGACTTCTCTCCAGCCCCAAGAATTTTATGTGGACCTGTTAAGCTTGAGGTTCCCACTGGATATCCAGACAGAGATATTTCAGAGGTGACTTTGGATGCAGCCATTCTGGAATTGAAGTCAGAGATACAAATTTGAGTGCTTTCAGCAGTTAGTTGTTAAAGATTAGCATTCACTGTATTCTATGCCACATTTTCTCCAAAGCACTATCAGAATTAGACGCCTTTAGGGACTGCAACATCCTAAACTGCTCCTTTAATTTTCTGAATTCTGTTTTCTCAAAGAGTTACATGGAAGGCACTATTAAAAATTTAGTTATTAGTAATCATGTCTTTTGACACTTTTGGGGGCACAAATCAAGGCTGGAGATCATTACGCCAAACTCAATAATGTAAAGTTAATAATGATAATGCTGAGATGCAGTAATGCCACTGTTACTTAGGATTTTTATTTTTCTCTAAGCAGACTGTTTCATGTTTACCGTGTTTATTTTTTAAAATATTTACTTAACTATTTTATTTGTATGCATGTTTGCCTGCATATATGTATGTGCATCCATGTTGTGCAGTGTCTGTTGAGGCCAGAAGAGGGCACTGGATCCCCTGGAACTGGAGTTAAGGATGGTTGTGAGTCATCATGTGGGTGCAGAAAATTGAACCCAAGTCCTCTGGAAGAACAACAGTATTCTTAACCACTGAGCCACCTCTCCAGCCCCAGGAGTGTTTATTTTTTAAGTTGCTTGACAGGATGTTTATTCAATCACAAGCCCAGGAACTTTCATTGTTGCTCTTGGCATCACAAAGGAAAAATAAGAACTAAAAACACAATAAACTATTATTTTTTCTTAGCGAGTTACCTTATACACTTACTGTGAGCTGACATTATTCTATGGTCACAATCTATTTTGATTGTCTACACCAGTTGGGAATCATATGGAGTCATGTTTATGGAATCATATGGAATCCTTGCCACATGTTAAGTGTGACAAGGATATTATAGGAAGTAAGTATGTGATTCCAGTTTAGTTCACAGACAAGTGCCTACATAACAAATATAACTACCCAGATGGCCGACTTGTCAGTTTTGATAGGCACTCCCAGAAGTGGAAGGAAAGATTAGCTAATTTTCCTTCAGATTGAAAATAAGAGAGAAGGCAGAGTGGAAAGAATCCCATGTCAGAGTTCACATCTTAGCTCAGTCTTTGTCAGTGTCAGTTGTTGGAAGAAATAATATATAGTGGAGAATTGATGCCAATAACTATTACCATTGATAAAATAGTATATTTCTAGTTTCCAAAACTGTCATGTTGGCCTTTTCTTATTGGCATAAAGTGTGTTCTCTAAAATTGAAAACAAAACTATGGCTGTTAAGGTCAAAATGTCCTTGGGCCTCTTAGCAACATATTCTGTTCCTAAGGCCAAAAATGTCAAAAGTATTTGGGAGCTCTTATCTAACCCCTAAAAGATTTTAGGGTTACATCCCTGTAGAGCCATAAAGAAAGCACCTATAGAGAACACATGGAAGGAAGGAAGGAAGGAAGGAAGGAAGGAAGGAAGGAAGGAAAAAGAATACACAAAGTTGTCAGAAAAAAAGTGATGGGGAGATATGGGAGGTGTTGGCAGGAAGGAAGTGGGTGTGGATTTGATCAAAACATATAATGTGCATTATGAAATTCTCAATACAATTTTTTTTAAAAGTTAAAAAAATTGAAAACAAAATATCAACATTTTATTCATTTATTTTGTATGTGTATGATGTGTGTTGTAGGGGCATGAGCATGCCACTGGGAGTGTGCTATGGCATGTGTGTAGAGGTCAGAGGTCAGTTCTCTCATGCCACCATGTGGGTCCCAGGGAATGATTTCAGGAGTTAGGTCTGCATGATAAGTACCTTTACCCACTGAGTCATCTTACTGGCCTAAATACTAATGTTTATTCTTATGACAATCCTGGGTATTAACCATTTCAGAAATGGAACATTAAGAAACAGCATATCATGCTAGAGAAAAATACTTGAAAAATAAGATTTCTAAGTTTATAAGGATATGTTTTACAAAAGAATGAATTCATTGAACAAACACCAAGTTAGTTCTTTAAAAACCCAGAGAAGAGTTTTTATGACTTGTCAAGCAAAAATGTATACTAAGTAGGCAAAGCATTTAAGCATTTAAACATAAAAATCCTCTATAATTTCCTTAAAAACAAGAATATCTATAGAGGAAAGAAAACAGCAGGTCTATGACAGGAGGCACATTTGCTACCATAGTAACAAGGCTTCTCAAGCCCACTGAGCTTACATCCTGCTGACATTAATCAGAAATGCCCATTTGTGCCAAATTAATGCCACACCACACACATTCAGGATATACATTCTTGACAGAACCAGGAGCATTTAACATTCCACAGGGAAGTCACAGTCTACACTCCGTGAAATTCTTACTCCATTTTAAGAGTTGCAGGCTGTGCTGAGTCATTGAGTCACTCAGACACTTAGCAGCAATATCTGAAAGACAGGTGGTCTCAAGATACCATTATCCCCCCACATCTCTGTCGCCTGTATACATACCAGCTGTGCCTGGAGGGTTCTCACACATCTCACAGTAAGGAAGGACTGGGTCATTGATAAATGTACAGAAGCCACACTGCCATTCCTTCCCAAGAGGGGCTGGGGTGGCTGATGGGGACTTGGCCTCATGGACCCCTTCCGTGAATGTGGCTCTGGCTTTCAAGGATGGTCTTTGCTCCAGGGGACTGCTGGGGTCCTTGGTGCTAAGTGACTTCATTCTTTTAGCTTCAGGTTCAAAACCATTTTCATTATCAATGCTATCACTGGTACCCATTTTTCTAGGGTCAGAGGCCACTAGAGTATTCTCCTTGAGTACCTTTGATTCATTATAGGAAGTCTCCAACTGTCTTTTTTTCAGTTTTGGTAAGAAGAATGATCGAATATCATGTTGCTTTTCTTTTTCAAACTAAAAACAACAGAGAGTTATCAAATTAGGGAGCAACTATTCTTCCTAAATGAAAGAACTTAATGTTTTCATTAATCAGACTGACTAATCCTTGGAAATGTATCCAATTATGGTACTTATCTTCATATATACGTATAACCCAGTGAAATTAACACAGCCATGTGTTTCCTATGTCTTTTTGCTTAGCACTTACTTTGTGCCAAGTATGAAAGATAAATAGATGATAGATGATAGAGATATAGACACACACACACACACACACACACATTTAATCCTCATGCCTGCCCTGTGAGGTAAGTATTCAGATGAGGAAACCAAGACATTTTAGAGAAGTTAGGCAACTTGGCTAGAGAAGTCACATAATGAAAAGAAACCTACTAAGTTACCTTCCCTAGATGTATATCAGATAAAAGAGGGAATTTGTGTATTTAAATGTTTCAAATCAATCACAAACTTAAACAATGGTTTCAGGGCTTAACTGTAAACACAGTGTATATAAACTAGGATAAGCATATTAAAATGTTACCTTGACTGGGAAGCATTTTCCAAATAGCATTAAAATAGTCATTCCAACAACTTCTTGATTAGACATATTTTAGTAATTAACTTGCCTCTAAGAAATATATTTCTTTTGGGCCAGTGAGATGGCTCAGTGGGCAAAGTGCTTGCTGCCAAGCCTGATGACCTGAGTTTGATTCCCAGAACCCATATAGTAGAAGCAGAGAACAGATTCAGCCAAGTTATCCTCTGACTTTCACATATGCATGTGCACACACACACAGTTTAACTTTTTTTTTGTCTTTTTGAGACAGGGTGTCCCTGTAGCTCCAGCTGTCCTGGAACTCACTATGTCAACCAGACTGGCCTTGAACTCACAGAGATCTGCCTGCCTCTGCCTCCCAAGTGCTGGGATTAAAGGCATGTGCCACCAGGCCCAGCCCACAGTTTAACTTTTTTAAAAGAGGAAATCTATTTCTTTTGTCTAAAAACATCTATAATGATCTGTTTTCATCTTTTCAATGTGCAAATCTCAATTTTTTTTTTTTTTTGGTCTTTTTGAAATAGGGTCTTGCTGTAGCCCCAGCTGGCCTGGAACTCACTATGTAGATCAGTCTGGCCTCGAACTCATGGAGATCCGCCTCTGCCTCCAAAGTGTTGGGAATAGAGGCATGCGCCACCACACCTGGCTAAAAATATTTTATTATTTATTTTTATTTTATGTGTATGAGTGTATTGTTTGCAGGTAGGTCGGTGCATATGTGTCATGCAGTGCCCACAGAGGTTGGAAGAGGGTGTCGGATCCACTGGAACTGGAGTTATGGCTGGTTGTTAGCCACCATGTGGATGCTGGGAATCAAACCCAGTTCTTTTGCAAGAGAAGCCAGTGCTCTTAACCACAGAGCCTTCTCTCCAGTCCCACAAATCTCAATTTCTAATTAGAGAGAGTAAGATACCAGAGCCAATGATTGATTAGCTAGTAGGTAATGTTAAGAGTAATACTTGGGGATGATATAGAAGATGCTAGAAACACATTGGAGTATACTGTATTTTCAAAGATGGCCCCCTCAATTCTTAGCTATCTCACACGTTCATCTCATAGTGTGACACTAATGTGCCTCCACTGAGAGATGTGGGAGGGTCTATGTTCTCACTTGATCCTGGCAGATCTTTGTAACTGTTTGCCACTTGGCATGTTGTTAAAGTGATGCTGTGTGACTTCTGAGGTGATGTCACTGAAGGTACTGAGCCACCTACATGGTGATGAAATCAAATCAAGTCCCCCCAGACCAAAAAAATATTCTGGGAAGCTGTACAAGGAAATAAGATGTAAAATAATTTTAACTGCTGAGAAAAAGCTGTTTTCCAGACATCAAGGCTGACCTGGTTTGAGATTAACCAGATGACCGTATTTGAAAGCCTCACAAACATGTCGTTTTAACTCGGGCACTTACCGCTTGAGAGACTTTTTTATTTTTTATGGAACTGTCTAAGAAACTTTTTGTATTACTTTGTAATCATGTAGGTGTAGCCTTATAATTGATTTGTGGCCTTATTATAAAATTGTGATATGGTGTTTTGTTAATAGAATTGTTCTGCCTCAATAGATTTATCCCTGCCAACTTCCCCCTCCCACTACTGCCGCTCTCCCTCCCACTACTGCCACTCTCCCTCCTACTTCTACCACTTATGGTTTGTGGTTTTTGTCTTTAAAAGAAGTCTGTAAGCTAAGCTCTGGGCTTCTGACCTCCGAGTGAGGCAGGAGTCCATTTTGTGCAAAACGCCAATAAATCCTCTTGCTTGTTGCATCTCCTGGTCTGAGGACTGAGTTATTGGGGAGCAGCCTCCTGTGGACGTTGGGTACCCCAAAATGGGGTTCCAACATTTGGAGGTCCCACCAAGATCCAGGCCACCCCCAGACCCATTTCCTCAGATCAGCAGGAGGTAAGAATAGAGGTCTTGTGATTTGTCTTGGTCTTAATTTCTGTCAGTCATTTCTGTTCTGGGAACGTTCCATCTGAATAATTGTGCCTGTGCAGGACCTGTAAGTCTGTATTCTGGAAACCAGCGGGAGTGGCAGACGTGCCCAGAGACCCCTGGTTTCACCACTCTAGCCTTAGTGACCAGAGTGATCTGGAGAGGGGAGGACAGCGTAGCTTTCCTCACCCCAGGAGGAGGGATTGGCTTGGCTGGTCCCTTCCTGATCTATATTTTCAGTTTCTGAGTCAAGAAGCGCGCAGCAAGGATTTTTGTTTTGTGTTTGTCTTAAAAGTGTGAGTGCAGAGTGTGTCTGAGTGAAAAAAGGACTGGTCCAAGTGAATGCAAGGAGAGGTGGTGTGCATGTATGGCACTTCTGGACCTAATCATTCTAGGCGGGGGCCTAATTCTGTATTTTCTTCTATGCTCTCTATTCTAAAGTATCTTCTCCTTTTGTGTTTCTCCTTATTCTTGGTCTAAGTCTTCGCGTGGGACCGTTAATGGCAAAAGAGTAATTGAGGCTTTCTAGCCAGGGCTACTCCCTGGCGTAAGCTGAAGGCTCCTAGCCCTCTTGACGGATCCCGACTGCCCGCACGGGTGGAGACAAGACGGCTTCTCTGTACTTCCTTCTCCTCTCCATCCCTCCCTCCTGCCACTAAAAAAGCCCCGCAGGCACGGGTCGAGCAACTAAGAGCCAAAGGGCACTCGCCGCTAAAAGACTCCTGTAAAAGGATAAGGGGGTCCCAGGCGTGAATCCCAGATAAATTCATGTCCCCCGCAGAAGAAAAACTGGGCAACGTTAGGTACTCTTCCATAAGCACACCCACTGGTCATTATTATTTGGAGTGGCATATTCTCTTTCTTTCTTTCTTTCTTTCTTTCTTTCTTTCTTTCTTTCTTTCTTTCTTTCTTTCTTTCTCTCCCCCTCTCCTGTGACCTCCACTATGGGTCAATTGCTAACTACCCCTTTAAGCTTAACTCTGGAACACTGAAAGGAGGTCATGGAACGGGCCCACAACTTATCATTGGAGGTCCAAAAGAAGGAGTGGCAGAGTTTCTGTTCCTCTGCATGGCCCTCTTTTGAAAAAGGATGGCCAAAAGATGGGACTTTTGACCTTGCTACTATCTTACAGGTTAAGGAATACATTTTCCACCCAGGACCACACGGACATCCGGACCAGGTGGCCTACATAGTCACCTGGGAAGACTTGGCCCAGAACCCCACATCTTGGGCACGGCCTGTTCCTACCTCCTGGGGGAATTGGAGAGACTGACCAGGGGCCTCCTACCCCTTCTGTTCCCCTGAGTCTTACTTCTTCCCTCCTGCCCCTTCACTCTGCCCCTGAGGAAAAAAAAACAAAAGCCAGTCCTCCCCGAGGACCAAGCTTCCCTAACCCTCCTTGATCCTCCACCTCCCTATCCACCTGCACAGGCACCTCCACCCCAAGAACTACCTTATCCCTCTCCTGATCCCACTGAACCTGACAAATCCCCTCCTCTATCTAAAAAACTCCACTTAAGGAAAGATAGAGGGGGCCCCTCTGATGGAATCTGGACTGCCCAGGCTTTTCCCCTCCAAACTATAGGGGATCAGATCCAGTACTGGCCCTTTTCAGCCTCTGACTTATATAATTAAAAGACTCATGATCCCTCTTTTTCTCAGGATCCTCAGGCTCTAACTGCTTTAATAGAGTCTATTCTTCTCACCCGCCAACCCACCTGGGAGGATTGTCAACAACTCCTCCAGGCCCTTCTAACCACAGAAGAAAGACAGCGAGTCATCCTAGAGGCCCGGAAAAATGTCCCCGGGCAGGATGGGAGACCCACTCTGCTCCCAAATGAAATAAGACGCAGGATTTCCTCTGACCAGACCCAACTGGAACCCCCTATGAGACCATGGCCGGTAGGGAGCGTCTCTGTCTTTATCGCCAGACTCTGATAGTGGGTCTCAAAGGGGCCAGAAGGCACCCAACCAATTTGGCAAAGGTACATGCTATAACCCAGGGGGAAAATAAGACCCCCGCAGGGTTCCTAGAGCACCTAATAAAAGGATATAAAATGTACACCCCTTTTGACCTCATGGCCCAGGAGCGTCAGGCAGATCTTAGTATGGCCTTTATAGGACAATCAGCCCCTGACATTCGTGGTAAGCTCCAACGGCTGGAGGGCCTTCAGGGGTACTCCTTACAGAATTTAATAAAAAAAGATAAAAAAAAATTAAGTCAAATTTTGGCCACAGTATTTCAGGGAACAGGACCAGGACCAGGTAAAAACCTGGGAGACAAGAAAAGGCCCCGAGTAAATAAAGACCAGTGTGCCTATTGCAAGGAGAGAGGACATTGGGCTCGAAAATGTCCGAAGAAGCTGAACAGACTTCAAAAGAAAACAATCCCAGTCCTGACTCTAGGGGACTAGGGAAGTCGGGGCCAGGAGTTCCCCCCTGAGCCCAGGGTAACTTTAAAGATAGGGGGGCAATTGACTACCTTCATGGTAGACACAGGAGCTCAGCACTCAGTCCTAACAAC